TTATTGATTTGTGGATATTGTACCATCCTTGCATCCCTGGGATAAAATCCTACTTGGTCGTGGTGTATGATCTTTCTGATGTACTGCTGGATCCGATTTGCTAAGATTTTGTTGAGGATTTTGGCATCTATGTTCATGAGGGATATTGGCCTGTAATTCTCTTTCATTGTGTTGTCTTTAGCTGGTTTTGGTATTAAGGTGATGCTGGCTTCATAGAATGAGCTCATCATGCCCTTTTGTCCTAAATAATTTAGTGTTATTTCCTTACAATAATGAACCTCATTTACAGAATCACAGTTAGGGAAATTAAAATTGATGTCATAATTTAACATCCACGTTTCCTTTTTAAAAGTGGCGCAGTCATGTCCTTTATGCTTTTTTATCCCCCCCGTGCAGACCCAGTCCTGGACCGACGTCGCGTTTAGTTTTCCTGCCCTTTCGTTTCCGTCCAGCTGGACGATTCCTTGGCTTTATTTGCCTTTCCTGACATTGTCACTTTTAAAAAACACAGCCTCCCTCTTTTAAAAGTGGAATGGCCCCCAGCTGGGCTTGGTATTTTCTCATGATGAGGTTCTGCTGTGATCCCCACGCAGACTCCTGCGGCAAGAGTGTGCGTTGTCTCCCAGCATCACCTTCACCAGGGGCGCATTCTATTGCTCTCATGGGTGATCAGCTGATGGATACCCTGGTGTTGTCAAATGTCTTTACTCTGTGGTCATTATGCCTTTTCACTTGCAAATCATGAGCAATCTGTGAAGAGACACTTGAAGACCATGCAAGTATCCTGCATGTCATCGCACCCTTCATGTTTCAGTGTGTGTCAGCCGGTAGCCATAGTTACTAATGGATGGTTTCCAGCTCCATCCCTCTCTCCTCTTTGTCTGCCCTTCATCCATCCATCCGTCTACTTGTCTCAGGCATCTGTCTCTCTCTTATCAATATAGATACACATATCTCTGATTCTCTTAATAATTCATATCTTATATTACATCTATCAATAACTTTACTGTTAAAGCTGTTCCAGTCTCGGCCTGTGGGAGCCCCTTCATGTTGCCGCCGATGTCCTTGGGGCATGCTTCATTCATTTCCTTACTTTCTGCATAAAAAATATTCCACACTCATCTCTTAACCTCCCCAGTCCTAGACTAGAATCTGCCATTAGTCCAAGAAGCTCGGTTCCTTTTGGTGGGGAATGTATTAGAAAACAAGATCTGGGTGAAGCTTACCCATTGCTATTGGAGTATTCTTGCTTTATCTCCAAGCCTTTCAACAGAGGTATCTTAGAACTAAGAACTAACACACACGCGGGCACACACGCACACACATGCATGCACACACACATATGCACACATGCACCTCTATTTAAACCTCTGTTTTCTGAGCTTTGGAAGTTGGAGGTGCACAGGGAGTGCTGGGTGGCTGGGGTCTCAGGAAAGGGCGACGTAAACCTGGTGCAGTTGGGAGGAGTTGGTAGCAGATGCTGTGAGTCCTGAAGCTGGAATTCGGGCCGCATGCTCTTTCCATAAAGCCACCCACAGGGAGAAGGGTTCCAAGGTTTCCACTGACCAGCACATCTAGTCGAACCTTCTAATATGCCCCAAAGCCTTCCTTTTAACCCACTTTCTCCTACTCCTCTCTGCTGTCTCCAGTTTATCTAAGACACTCTCTGTTCTTGCTCCAGTCCGCACGGCATGGACTTGCTGATCTGCCCCAGGCCAAGGGCACCTTGCTGCCAGGCTATGTCTGTGCCATCTGTCAAATGGGAGCTCCCACCCAGAGGGAGTGCTCCTGGGCTGTGGGTGCTGACGGGACAGCCTGGTGGCACTGTGTGTGAAGTGAGTGCAGCCAGAGGGTGAGGGGTTCCCTTTTCCCAGACGTGATGGCTACTCACCACCCCTAGCTGGGCCTGCAGCGCTGGAGGAAGCTCTGGGAAGCACCTCTTATAGAGAGAGATGTTGGACAGAAGCCTGGCTTCTTGGGGCAAAAGGCCATGATTCAAATGAGAGATGTCCTCTAGGATGTCTCGTCCAGACCTGGGGGACATGGGTCTGGTCGGGAGAACTGGAATGTGCGCCCTTGATGAAACACATCCCTGGGTACTGAGGGATTCACCTGGCAGGGTCTTGCAGAATGTGGGTTAGGTCTCCCTTGGATTTAGAGAGACAACCCCTGCTCGGTGCTTAGATACTTCGACCAACCCTCATGTTGAAACAATTCCCAGAGGCATTTCAGGGCCAGGGGATGTTTATTACTTACGCCGGTTTGTCCTGGGCTTTCAGACAGATCCAGACAACAAGGTAAGTCATGAAACGTGAGCCATCTAGATGTTATGTGATTTGCTGTCACCATAAACCTGTAGTCAGTGTTATAACATTCCTAAGTTAGAGACAAATGTGAAGATCCCTCCTACAGACATATTTATCAGTGCTGAGCCAGACGTCAACTCCTCCACTGTGTGGAGGTGTGGTCGGGGGGTGCAGGAGGCCTTCAGCCCAGGAAAGAAGATGATTCTGTCAGCACTTAGTGTGGGGCTGCTGAGCTGGTACTGTGGGCAGAGCTCTCATTGCCATCAAGTTAATTCTCAGTATTCCCCTTCATGTCCCTGGGTTCTGAGACACTATGAAGGAGTAATCGTGTGCACAAGAGCTCAAAAAAAATTTCAAAGGCAAGATCTTACTCTCCCAGGAGGCAGTGGAGACTTTCACAGGTCGTTAGAGTACACAGACTCTAGGTAGATTTCTTCTGTGCTCCTGGATTTGTCTCTGCCCAAGTCAAATTTTAACAAACTAAAATAATACAGAGAATGGGAAGGTTACCTGAAACTTCATGATGAGCACTGTGTACCGTATTATTTACTAGAGGCCTGATGCATGAAAATTCGTGCAAGAGTAGGCTTTCCTTTCCCCGGTTGCCGGTACCGGCTTCCCTCTGGCAACCGGGACCCGGGCTTCCCTCCTCTGGCCGCCTGCAGGCACGTGGGACTAGGGCTGCTTCCCTCCTCCAGATGCCTGCAGGCACCCGGGACCCAGGTTGGCTACCCTCCGGCCCCAGCTTCGTCAGGAAGGATGTCCAGAATGACGTCCAGTCTAATTAGCATATTACCCTTTTTTTTATTATAGACTAGAGGTCCAGTGCATGAAATTTGTGCACTGGGGGGTGGGGTAGGTGTCCCTCAGCCCAGCCTGTACCCTATCCAATCTGGGACCCCTTGAGGGATGTCCGACTGCCGGATGTCCAATTGAGCCTAAACCGGCAGTCGGATATCCCTCTCATAATCCGAGACTCCTGGCTCCCAACCGCTCACCTCCCTGCCTGCCTGATTGCCCCTAACTGCTTCTGCCTGCCAGCCTGATTACCCCTTAACCACTCCTCTGCTGGACTGATGGACACCTAACTGCTCCCCTGCCAGCCTGGTCACCCCAACTGCCCTCTCCTGCAGGCCTGGTCACTGCCAACTGCCCTCCTCTGCAGGCCTAGTCCCCCCACCAACTGCCCTCGCCTACAGGCCTAGTCACCCCTACTTGCCCTCCCCTGCTGGCCCAATTGCCCACAACTGCCCTCCCCTGCCAGCCATCTTCTGCCCACATGGGGGTGGCCATCTTGTGTGAGGGTGTGATGGTCAATTTGCATATTACCTCTTTATTATATAGGATGTGCTGAGTTCTGTGACTCAGAGACTTGATCTATTCCAGATGCTTCTAAGCAGAAGTGCAGGTTGAGATAAAACGTGGAGAATGGGTAGGATTCAGCTTTGTGAAGGCTGTCCAGGGGCTGTCTAGGTGGGGAAGAGTGTAAGCAAGGGAGGTGGAGGTGACCACATGCAGAAGGTGGGGAGGAGGGGACCACATGCAGAAGGTGGGGAGGAGGTGACCACATGCAGAAGGGGGGGAGGAGGTGATCATATGCAGAAGGTGGGGAGGAGGTGACCATATGCAGAAGGTGGGGAGGAGGTGACCACATGCAGAAGGTGGGGAGGAGGTAACCATATGCAGAGGGTGGGGAGGAGGTGACCACATGCAGAGGGTGGGGAGGAGGTAACCATATGCAGAGGGTGGGGAGGAGGTGACCACATGCAGAGGGTGGGGAGGAGGTAACCATATGCAGAGGGTGGGGAGGAGGTGACCACATGCAGAGGGTGGGGAGGAGGTAACCATATGCAGAGGGTGGGGAGGAGGTGACCACATGCAGAGGGTGGGGAGGAGGTAACCATATGCAGAGGGTGGGGAGGAGGTGACCACATGCAGAGGGTGGGGAGGAGGTAACCATATGCAGAGGGTGGGGAGGAGGTGACCACATGCAGAGGGTGGGGAGGAGGTAACCATATGCAGAGGGTGGGGAGGAGGTGACCACATGCAGAGGGTGGGGAGGAGGTAACCATATGCAGAGGGTGGGGAGGAGGTGACCACATGCAGAGGGTGGGGAGGAGGTAACCATATGCAGAGGGTGGGGAGGAGGTGACCACATGCAGAGGGTGGGGAGGAGGTAACCATATGCAGAGGGTGGGGAGGAGGTGACCACATGCAGAGGGTGGGGAGGAGGTGACCACATGCAGAGGGTGGGGAGGAGGTGACCACATGCAGAAGGTGGGGAGGAGGTGAAAGAAGCCAGAAGGCAGCAGATAAGAGAGATGAAAGGCAAAGAAGAAAAACAATTTGTAGAGTAAAAATACCGTCACAAAGTCTATCCATAGTCAAAGGAAGTGCAAAGAAGGGAAAGGGCCTTGAGACTCTACTGTGGACCTTTTACATTCGCTTATTGATCCTCAGAACAACTGAGCTAGGTGATCATTGTCCTTATTTAATAAAAGCAGAAGCTGAAGCTCAGGGCAGCATCCACAGCACTGGTTCTGTCCAGGGTCTGTGAGTCAGGAGACAGCGCCCAGAGATCTGGATTTGGATCTCTCTCCAGGACTTACTGGCAGATTAAACTAAGTCACTGAACTTCTGTTTTCTCATGTATAAGGCAGGATGATGAGACTTGCCTTGTCTTCTTGGTTATTGGAAGAAGTTGCACTAAAGTGCCTAGGACAGTGGCTGGGATGTAGCAGGAGCCCAACACAGGTTCACAGAGAGCTAAGTGCCCTGAAGGAGCACATGGGTGAGCCTTTGATGACCTCAGATGAGGATGCTATGGCTTTTATCAAACTTACTGTGCTGTCAAATAACAGAGCACACATAGTACACACATACATGCACACATACACACATGTGTACATTCTTGCAACCTGTTCATGTACACATGCACACACCCATACACACATGCATATGCCCACACACACATGCTCACATACACAAATGCACACACTCACACCCACGCATGTACACACACACACATATGCTCACATACACATATGCACGCACTCACATACACATGTGCACACACATACATGCACACACTCACACCCACATGTCCTCACACCCACACATGCACATACTCACATGCTTGCACTCACATATACACATGCACATGCTCACACCCATGCACATACACTCACATGTACACATGCATGTGCTCACACCCACATATGCACATGCTCATGCACACACATACACATATGCACATGCTCCCATATACATACATGCACGTACTCACACGTGCTCACACGTGTGCATATATACACTCACACATGCATGTGAACATGCATATGTGTACACATGCACACACTCATGTGCAGACATGCTCTCATATGCATGAGTGTGCTCACATACACATGCTCACAAACACATGTGCACACACATACACTCATGCATGCTAATGAGTGCACCCACACTCTGTGACCTCTGTCCCCTTCTCAATCCTGTCTTCTCCTTGACCACCTGCAGCTCTGGACTGCCCGGAGAACAGCCACTTTGAGGAATGCATGACCTGTACAGAGACCTGCGAAACACTGGCCCTGGGCCCCATCTGTGTAGACAGCTGCTCAGAGGGGTGTCAGTGCGACGAGGGCTATGCCCTGCAAGGCACCCAGTGTGTTGCCCGGAGCGAGTGTGGCTGCAACTTTGAGGGGCACCAACTTGCCACAAACCAGACCTTCTGGGTGGACCTGGACTGTCAGATCTTCTGCTACTGCAACGGCACAGACAACAGCGTCCACTGCGAGACCGTCCCCTGCAAGGATGATGAGTACTGCATGGAGGAGGGCGGCCTGCACTACTGCCAGCCCCGCACTGATGCCTCCTGCATCGTCTCAGGCTATGGCCACTACCTGACCTTCGATGGCTACGCTTTTGACTTCCAGACCAGCTGCCCACTCATCCTGTGCACCACGGGAAGCAGGCCGAGCGCAGAGTCAGTCCCCAAGTTTATTGTCACGGCCAAGAACGAGGACCGGGACCCATCACTGGCCTTGTGGGTCAAGCAGGTGGACGTGACCGTGTTTGGCTACAGCATAGTGATTCACAGGGCCTACAAGCACACTGTGCTGGTGAGTAGTCACAGGCCAGAGCCGAGGACGGGGGTCGTAGGGACAGGAGGACAAGGGTCCTTGGTCAGTAAGCCCGGCTGTGGCTGCACTCGGCTGGTTCAGAATCCAAGGAAAAGCCCAGAGAGGATGTTAGCGTGGTTGAGGCCGGAGATGGTCTGTCTCTTTATCTTACAGATAAAGGAGGCTGAGCCTCAGAGAGGAAAATGATCTTCCCAGGTCGCAGCTACCTAATGAGGAATCAGCCCCAGAGGGGGAACCTTTCATGCTGTGGCCGAGTGCTGGAAAGAGCTCAGACCTCAATTCAAATGCTAGCGGCTCCTCTGGGTGCCTTGGGCAGTCACTCTGTCTGGCAAGGAGTACACGTGCTCAGCACAGATTGGGCACCTAATGTGGTCCTACTGTCTGACCCACCTCCTTCCCTCTTTCAGGACCAGAATGATGTTTGTCTGCTCTGGCCTCTGACCCCCTCGCCCCGTCCCCTCTTGGCTCTCATGGGATTGGGGAGCTCAAGAGTCTTGCAAGCATTCGGAGGCCTCGGGGCTCTCCCATGGGCCTGCTCATGAGGCCTTAGTTTCCTCCTTCTGTCCTCCCCACCTTTTCATTCCCTGGACCATGAAGGGAGGAGCAGCAGGACCTGAGGAGTTCCATATACTCCTGGGCCCACCTAGGACATCAGCGGAGAGGTAGGCCCCACCTCAGCCAAGGCCTTGCTCTGGGCATCAGTTGGACACAAACAAGCCAGCCCACAGCCACTGGCTGAGCATTTTGGAAGGACTGGTTTAGGATGTTCGACTTTCTCCATCACCCTCATTCTTCTCCTCTATGTCTCTCCTAACAGCTGGTTACCGTCTCCGTTATTGCTTTAATCATACTGTATTTTTTGTGATGTTCATCTCTAGCTCACTCAGTTCTAACTGTGGGCTTCTTGAGCACAGGAAGCACACCTAATGAATCTTTATGTTAAATGGAATGACATTTGTCGAGTGAGTGAGTGAGGTGACAGAAAAGGCCTTTCTTCCAGGTTTCCTCTGACTGCCACGTTGCTGCTGGTCACATTTACAGCAATCTGGGAGGTTAAATTGCCTCTGGGGCCATTAGAAATATATTGGATTCTTTGCTTTTAGCCACATAAAGTTTCCAGCAGCTGTCTGGACAGGTTAAGCTGAGTACAGAACTTCCCTCTAACCCATTGTCATCATATGTGTTAAACATGTTAGTCATTTTGCCCAAGTGACTTGACCTTTTCTCCTCATTTGATGTATCGCTACCCTTCGATTTATAATTTTTTATAAATTTATTTTTACTCTTAATTTTATTTTTCAATTATAGTTTACTCTCTATATTATTTTATGTTGGTTCAGGTGTACAACATACTGGTTAGAAATACTTCACAATTATCTCCCCATACTTCCTGTACCCTCCTGGCACCACACAGAGTTATCACTCCGTGACTGACTGTCCCTGCACTGAACTTTACACGTTGTGACTGTTCTGTAACTACCAGTCTCTACTCCTCAACCCCTCACCTCTGTCGCCCAGCCCCAGCCCTCTCTTCTGGCAACTACCAGCCCATTCTCTGTATGTGTTAGTTTGTTTCCTTTTTTTGTTCTTTAGATTCCACAGGCAAGTAAGTTCATATGGTATTGCCATTCTCTGACTTATTTCACTTACTATAATACCCTCTAGGTACATCCATGCTGTTGCACATGCTAATATTTTATTACTTCTTACCAGCAAGTAATATTTCATTATGTCTGTACCACCACTTTTTTATCCACTTGTCCATTGATGGGCACTTGGGTTGCTTCCATACCTTGGCTGTTGTAAATAACTCTACAGTGAATATAGAGGTGCATGTATTCTGTGTCCATGGGATACACATATATGCATTTAAGTTATTTGGTTAATCTCTTCCCACCTCTGCCTTCTCTCTGAGATTTGTCAATCTGTTCCATGCTTCTATGTCTCAGAATCTGTTTTGTTCATCAGTTTATTTTGTTCTTTAGATTTCACATATGAGTGAGATCATGTGATACTTGTCTTTCTCAGACTGGCTTATTTCACTTAGCATGATATTCTCCAGGTCCCTCCATGCTGTCTGAAAGGGTAAGAGCTCCTTTTTTCACTGTTGAATAGTATTCCATGGTGTAAATGTACCACAGCTTTTGGGCACTTGGGCTGTTTCCAGATCTTAGCTATTGTAAATTGTGCTGCTATGAACATAGGGGTGCATGCATTCTTTCTGATTGGGGTTTCTGGTTTCTTAGGATGTATTCCTAGAAGTGGGATCTCTGGGTCAAATGGGAGTTCCATTTTTAATTTTTTGAGGAGACTCCATAGTGGCTGCACCAGTGTACATGCCCACCAGCAAACTAGGGTTCCTTTTTCTCCTCACCAGCACTTGTTGTACGTTGATTTGTTGATGGTAACCATTCTGACAGGTAATGAGGTGATACTTTATTGTCATTTTAATTTGCATCTCTCGAATGATTAGTGACTTTGAGCATTCTGCATATGTCTCTTGGCTGTCTATATGTCCACATTGGAGAAGGGTCTATTTAGGTCCTTTGCCCATTTTTCAATTGGATTGTTTGTCTACCTTTTGTTAAATTGTATGCGTTCCTTATATATTCTGGATATTAATCCTTTATCAGATGTATCATTGGCAAATATGTTCTCCCATATAGTGGGTTCCCTTTTTATTTTGTTGATGGTTTCTTTTTCTGTGCAGAAGCTGTTTAGTTTGATGTAGTCCCATTTGTTTATTTTTGCCTTTGTTTCCGTTGCCCTAGGTGAAGATACTGCTATGTGAGATGTCTGAGATTTTGTTGCTTATAGTTTCTTCTAGGATTTTTATGGTTTCATGATTTACATTTAAGTTTTTATCCATTTTGAGTTTATTCTTGTGTATGGTGTAAGTTGGTGGTCTAGCTTCATTTTTTTCATGTATCTGTTCAATTTTCTCAGTATCATTTATTGAAAAGACTGTCTTGACTTCATTGCATGCTCTTGCCTACTTTGTCAAATATTAACTGAGTGTAATGGCTTGGGTCAGTTTCTGGGGTCTCTGTTCTATTCCATTGATCTATATGCCAGTTCTTGTGCCAGTACCAGGCTGTTTTGATTACAGTGGCTTTGTAGTATAACTTGATATCTGGTGTTGTGATCCCTCCAACTTTATTCTTCTTTCTTAAGATTGCTGTGGCTATTCTGAGTCTTTGTTTTCATATAAATTTTTGGAGTATTTCTTCTAGTTCTGTGAAATATGCTGTTGGTATTTTATAGGGATTGCATTAAATCTATAGATTGCTTTGGGTAATATGGACATTTGAATAATATTAATTCTACCAATCCACGAACATGGTATATTCTTCCATTTGTTTTATGTCTTCCTCTGTCTCTTTTTTCAATGTCCTGTAAATTTCTGAATAGATATTTTTTTACCTCCTTGCTTAAGTTTATTCCTAAGTATCTTAATTTTTTTATTCCAATGGTAAATGGGATTGTTTGTTTAGTTTCTCTTTCTGAGAATTTAGTATTGGTGTATAAAAATGCAACAAATTTCTGAATTTTAATTTTGTATCCTGCTACATTGCCTAATTCATTTATTAAATCTAGTAGTTTTTTTGGTGGAGTCTAGGGTTTGCTATGTACAATATCATGTCACTTACAAATAGTGATAGTTTTACTTCCTCCTTTCCAATTTGGATGCCTTTTAGGTTTTCCCTTCTCTGATCTCTGTGGGTAAGACTTCCAGTACTATCTACATATATAAAGATCCAGGGGCCGTCACATCCAAAACAACCAAATGGATGACCAAACAGGCTGAGTGGGGCAACAAGGCCAGCATTGGGGTTAGTGAGGGATGACCAAACAACTGAACAAGCAGACTGTGTGGGGAGACCAGGCCGGCAATGGGGGCAGTGAGGGGCGACCAGGCAGGCAGAGGGGGGCAATGAGGGCAACCAGGTCGACAGGGAGTGCAGTTGGGTGTGACCAGGCCGATGGGGGAGGGGGGGTGATGAGGAGCAGC